TCGATGCTGAGACTCAGTTTGGCCACAACAAGTCGCCATTTGGGGAACGGACATACCACCACGTCATCCAACGAAGACACCAGAGGGCCAGATAGCCGAGCAATCATCTAGCCGCAGTCTACCACGCATGATGAAGGGTCAACAGGTCAGAGGCCGGTTCTGCTAATGTCTCTGATGGTGAATTCACGACGGATGTCGAAACATCAGACGAATAAAATTACTATCCCAGCGATCCAGTCGTCTTCCTTTCAGGGAACCTGTTTCCATCTTTAAATCTGCGCATATTCTTACAATCTTTAACTTTGGAAGAATGTTGCACAATTCGTTATTCAAAGCGGTAACATAAGTGTACACTTACCTTGAGGGGCTGGTCATAAATTATGGCATGAAGCATACTCTCACAGTCAGCGACATCCTGAACATAGTCAGCTTTTACACTGGCTTTAACACTATTGCACGGGCCTAGAAGGAGAACCAAAAATGTAGTATAGAGGACGTGATTTATAAAATTAAAAAACTTCCCAAAATGATCATTTTATTTATGCGATAAGCAAAATCACCCGAGTTAACTACTGTTTAGCAAGCTATCATACAATGTTTACAGTTGCACTTGTAGGTCAGGTGTATGAGCAGTAGAAGAGTAATCCAGGAGCAAGATATTTTAACTGCGGACATGTTAAATGGCAACGAAAATGGAATAGTCCCCTCCCCCAGTCCGAACTTACACCCACTGTAAGCCTTCTTGTACAAAAGCGTAATTGGTTTTCCTTTGGTAAGTTCCAACGTTATCGTCGCTTGGTCCCCCTTCAGAGGTCCCGTTACATAGGAAATGTGTTTTTCTAAAAATAAAAAAATATTGATACTTCGACAATAAGCAAAGCAACACCCAGAAAATGCTTAATAAAATTGATAAGATAAGGTAATGCCTTCTAAGATGAATAAGTTAATCGTTCATGAAGCAGGAGAAGGTGGAAGAGTTTAATCAACAGAAACAATCTATGGTTATTCATTAAACAAAGATATTTCAGTATGCGCTTGGGATCGCTTAGAAATATATGTAGGCTGCATCCGAGCGTACAGTATGGTGAGTGCTGAATGCAACATGCGTAAACATAAAAAAAAGCTTTATCAGTACTCACATACCGGCGTAAACACATTTGTGCAAACAAAGAAATAATAATGAGCAGCATTAGACATATTTAATACTTAAAATAACAAGAGGAAGTACTTAGTGTTCTTTAAGATAAATTAAATTTTCTCGACAATGTCCAAGTTACGGAGACGTAAAAATAGCTGTTAATTTGAAAAATGAATTTAAATCTTTTCGTAAGTTGAAAGCGGAATATAACAAATTTCTTCATGTAAAAAGAAATTTTCTTTACTCATAGTATTTTGTACATGTTACCGTTAGTAAATAACTATTTATTGCATATCGTCGAATAAAATCTGGCAACATTTCGATCGTTTTCAGGGTCTTCATTAATAAATTCTGCTTCCGGTCGATGTTTATATCAAAACCTTTAAAAAACGATATACATTAAGAAGCTTTACCGAAAAAAAGAGTTTATGGATATAAGTTCATACAAAGATGGTCATACGGATCATATTTGGAAATGCCTCAAAAGAGAAAACTAAACGGTGGAGGAAATTTAATATCCGCAAGATAACTCGGATATTGCTATCCTTAAGATTAATAAATAAGCTTCCCATGATGGGTCATCTCCTCATAAAATGCTTTCTTTGGATATTCGGCTGACGAATTGCGGTGTATATTAACTATTTCTAAGGTAATATCACAATGAAATTGGAGACTTTTGACAATTTTTTTAAATATACCTGAAAATGAACAATTCAATTGGACTGGAAATGAAAGAAATTACGTTCCTCTTTTTAATGAATTTGTTGCCGCGTAAATGCATCAATTCCACGATCTGTTATAAGCTTGCGAAGGCAAAAAAGACTGGCCATTGTTATTAAAATTTCTTGAAATACTTATTATTCCTCTGCCTGTTCCGTTTCTTAATAAAATTTAAGCGGAATGTGTAGTTTACAAAAAAAACTTACTAGCATTTAATAAAGCCTCTTTTGCATCACCTTAGCAGCAACATATAGGGCAAAGTTTGCATTATGCGCAAGGACAGCTGTGCGGTGAAACAAAATTTCCGACGAAACATTGTTGCTACTGCATTTTGTGCAAAAAAACTTCACATCATTTTTGAAAGTTAAATTCTTGCTTGTTTCTGCAAATAAATTCGATTTCTTAAAGCTGGATTCACTTCCATTTCATCAATTTCGCACAATATTTTCTAGTTCTGGAAGGCATTATTATTCCACTTTTTTCACTTATTCTGGAATTCTTTCACAGCACAATGCACATCAGTCAAAAGATTGGTTCTGCCGTACGTTGTAACGTGGAAAATGTGTTTTGAATAAATCTTACTCATGATTTAGCCACAATTAGTGCCTATTGCGCTGCATAACTTTAAGTGAGACGGAAGTTTTCCAAACCAATGCCCTTCTAATTAGTAAATCTATTCAGTTGATCGAAATAACCTCTCCAAATATATGCTAAACTGCCCAGTTAAATTTTATCATGAAAGTTGCATGCAGGACTTGCCAACATTTGTATGAGATTTAAGGAAAAAAAGAGTTTAGCGCTTACTGTCGATGACCTCCCAGCAATCATTTGGTGGGAAACAGTGTTGGCCGGCTGGAGCCTTGGGGATATTTTTACCATCCACCTCAACCGCCTGAAAGAAAAGTTGTTTTGTTAGTCCACACATGCACTAGTCAATTGACTACATATCACAGATGGTTCTACGTACGGCAACCTCGGCGTAGGCCCACTTAGAGTACCAGTAATCGCGGTTTCCCGGGAAGGTCCTAGTGTCTACCTTGTAGCCTGAAAGTTAAAACGTTAGTGTTAACTAAAATACCCGAAAAAATATGGTTCAACAGTGCTAAAATCTGATTTTAAGGAATCTTTAAGCAAAAATCCAAATTAAAAATAAATTCAGGCTGAGAGATTAAACGAATTAAGAAGAAGTTACCATTTCCGAATCCAAGACAAGTAAATATCAGGCAAATCACAGGACACAACATCTCGAAGTGACTACGGATTTATGTAACGCACGCTTTTGTGTCTAGATATACCCTCGAGGTAATAAATTATTAAATTCATCACCTTTCCTGTCTTTATAGCCCGACACGTTGTTTTTGCAGGTAAAGTGTGGTCTGTGTGTTCCAAACGGCCTTAAGGCTAAACAGATTAGTTACGTTCGTGCGGGATGAGGTATTGTTCAATAGAACTGTCCAAGGTGGCGAAACACAAAGCCGTGGCCATTTTAATATAAAAATGTTAGACAGATTACATTAATCATGTTCGGAACGATTATGTTCATGTAGGCTAGGACATATTAACTAGCAAGTAAAATACCGTATACCCACCAAAGCATTCACAAATAACAGGTAATGGCATTATTCTTGTCCACAAAGTGATAAAACATGTGCTTTGGAGTAAATGGAAGTGCTGAAGTGTGCTTTTTAGAATAACGTACCGTGCAAACTATACCGAAG